CGCCCCCTCCCTCCCTCCCTCCTGAGCCACGCTCCCTCCTTCCCTCCCTCCCTCCTGAGCCATGCTCCCTCCCTCCCTCCCTGCCTCCCTGCCTCGCCAGACTGTCCGAGATTACGGAAATGTCTTGTCCAAACGATCCAAAGGTGTTGCAAGTGGTTAAGTTCCCGGCAGGGCATGAAGGTTAACGGTGGCTTCATGACCCTGGTGCTGAAATAAAAATCTGGGGGAGAGGGGCTGTAGGAGCCCCTTCTACCAGAAGCAGGAGCCCCGAGAGGACAGGTCAGGGCCCTGGGGCATGTGGGCACCACCCCTGGTACAGGGAGAGAGGCTGCGCCCACAGCTCTGAGGCTCCTGTGTGGATTGCCCCATCCCCAGGGCTGGTAGATGTGACTTCCGGTCTTCAACGGGGGTGTGCCCTCGGGCAGGTGATGTCTGCTTTGGGCCACAGCTGGAAACATATCTATCTATATTTCGGTTTGACCGAAGCAGAGGTGAGGCGGGCCCAGGAATTGGAACATTAGACCAGCAGTGAAGCTGGGGAATCTGGCCCTCTTCGGGGCGGGACCACACTGTAAAAAAAGCAGGGTTTGGTCTCAGGAACCACCAAGGCTTGGCGCTCAAACAAGACATCCTAAGGGAACTTACACTCCAAGTCGCCGTGTTTTTCCACCCCCGAGGGCTGCGACCTTCTTCCCAGTGTCCCTCCCTCACCGGCCATCGGGTCATCAAGTTGGGCCTCCCTCTTTCCTGACCCTCCACCCCCTGCTCAGGGGGCTGGAGCCACAGGATGTTAGAACAAGAGGCGGCACAGGGTCACAGCTGTGTGCCGAGGGCCGGCCGCGAACCAGGCTCCTTAGTGAGCCACCCGCGACGTTGCCATCAGAGCCTCACGCCAAACACTCAAACACGTAAGTCCGGTCTTACCGTTCCCCCTTCTTGGACTATGAAACTGAGGCCCACATCGTGCCGCTTAAAAGAGGCAAAAGCAGAATTTGAACATTCGCCTGACCCCAAATCTGCAGTATCACAGATCTTGCAGACTCATCCAATAAACACTTATTTTATGGAAGAGGAAATGAAACAAACAAATAGACCCAGCGGAGCAAAAGTGACTGCCCACGGTCACCCAGGCCGGGAGGCCAGGGCTCGGACTTGACTCCGGTCCCCAGCTCTCCATGCTGCCCTCTGTGTGCTGCTGACCTTCCTTCTGCCCCTACCCCCCCGACTTGACCTCCTTTCAGGACCTGTGTGCTCTTGAACCTTCCTGCATACTAGGCTTTCCATTCAACTCGGACCATTACATGCGGAGAACTTCTACAGGGACGATGTAGACCCAAGCGTATCCCAGCTCTGCCACACCTCTGCTGTATGATTGCAGGAGGGCCGTTCACTGACTGCAGCCTCAGTTTTCTCATCTGTGAAATGGGGCTAAGGAGGCAGTGCTGTTGCCGGGATTAACCAGCTACTTATCAACTGCTTATCCTGATGCTGGGTGTGCAACAATGGGTAGTCGGCAAGTGTCCCCTCCCCGTACCCACGCCCCCAGCACCTCTCAGGTGCTTTCAGCTTCTCTTCTGTGTCCTAGCTCTGGCCCTGAAAGGTTGGAGCCACGGGGACAGGAGGACTGGCGTGCATATTTGCGTGAGTGAGTGCGCGTGCACACAGAGAAGCATTTCCCAGGAACTGCGGACTTGGAGCATTGCTCGCTGCCAGCATTTCTGAGCAGAGCTGTCAGGGAATGCAGTGAGCTCCGTTTTCTGTTAACACCACAAAACGTTCTCACTTCAGTTTTACAAACCCCGAGTTCGAGGACGTTCATAAAATCGTTCTAGCCACAGCATCTCCCGGATACTTAATGTAGGGCGAAAGGCCAAAAGAAGTAGTCTCAGCTTTTTTTGGTTCAGCTTTCATGCCACCTCACCCAGAAGCTAGCTTTTCTCTTGGGCAAGAGAAAAGGCGCTGGCCCCTGGGCCACACCGTCTCTAAGGGGTGGGGCTCCCGGACTGGCCCTCACGCCCTGGGCTGTGGCGACTGCATGGCCCCAGGGGAGGGGGGAACCACAGAGCACTGAATGCCCCTGGCCGGCGACCGTGGCCAGGCTCACCTCTTTGAGCTCTGCAGGACCTGAGGGGCGTCCAGGGCGGAAAGGTTGGGCTTGGCTCTGTGCAGCCAGCCTGTGAGGTCGTAGCGCACGGGGTCCTGTCCCAGCTGGTGGAAAATCTCGAACTGGAGGGGCTGCTCACAGGACCGAAGGCCGGAGGTCCCTGAAAGCAGACAGAGTGCATGAGTGTTGGGGAGGCAGGTGGGGGGGGGGGAGGGGGGCACTCGGGAGTTGCTTGACATCACCAAGCACGCACTTTCTCCATGGCTGTGTTTCCAGACGGAAGCCCACATTGCTGGGCGCCAACATCCCTCCTGCGCATTATTTCCTTTTATTTTAAATTTTTAAAATAAACTTTTAATGTTAATTTATTTTTGAGACAGAGAAAGAGCGTGAGCAGGGGAGAGGCAGAGAGAGAGGGAGACACAGAATCCGAAGCAGGCTCCAGGCTCTGAGCTGTCAACACAGAACCTGACGTGGGGCTCGAAGCCACAGACTATGAGATCACGACCTGAGCCGAAGTCGGGCCCTAACAGACTGAGCCACCCAGGTGCCCACATAGCACCTATTCCTCCTTACTTTCTTCAACACAGGGCACCTGTTTTCCCCAGCTCCCCCCAGTGCATATAATCTTCATGATTTTTGCCTTTCCCTTGAATCACCTGGGCTGTTATTTACCTTCTGTTTTCTATAAAGCAGGTAAATCCATTTATAGTGAAGCATTCTATTGTGGATTTGGCATGCGTGCTATATTTTCTTTTTGTTTATTTATTTTGAGAGAGAGAGAGGAGGAGCAGAGAGAGAGATGATCCCAAGCAGGCTCCACACTGTCAACACAGAGCCCAGTGCGGGGCTTGAACTCACGAACCATGAGATCAAGACCTGAGCGGAAACCAAGAGTCACGACGCTCAACCAGCTGAGCCCCCCGGCACCCTCCACCCCTGTATTTTCTAACACTCATGGAAATAAATACATAGTTATTAAATATTTTCAACAACATTTTGAAATGACATCGATCAAATGAGTGTGTACAACAGACACGTAGGGGATGCTGACTTGCCCTTGGTCACAAGGGGCGGCGTGGGAGAGCCAGAGGGGTGTGGAGCTTCGAGAGAAGGTCTGCCTTCAAATCCTGACTCTGCCTTTTACTACCGTGTGGCAGGGGCCCAGCCTCTTAAATCTCTGACCTCCGTCTCTGCATAATGCAAATATACCTACCTCCCGGGGTGACATAATCTTAAAGGAGGTAATGTGCGTGACACGTTATCAGGGTGTCTGGCACATAGTAGTCACTCAGTAAACCGCAGTGCATATCACAGCCACTGCCTGCATTTATTATTTTTTTTTTATATTTTTATTTATTTCTAGGAGAGAGCGTGAACAGGGGAGGGTCAGAGAGAGAGGGAGATAGAGATACAGATTCTGAAATAGGCTCCAGGCTCTGAGCTGGCAGTCAGCACAGAGCCTGACGCGGGGCTCAAACCCACGAACCGCGAGATCATGACCTAAGCGAAAGTCGGACGCTTAACCGACTAAGCCACCCAGGCGCCCCAGCCACTGCCTGCATTTAGCCTTATGCTGATATTCTGCAACCACAGAGTACCGATCTCCAGATCCCTAACATTCTGCATCACGTGCCTGGCAGACACATGGCGTCGGGAAGGGCTTGCTTGTGGCATGAACGAGCGAATGAACCCTAGTCGTGAATCACATCACTCTAACTGTGGGGAGCTGTCAGGTTGAGCAAAGGCCCCAGGCCACCAATTACTATCAGGAGCAGTAGTACTGTTTCCGTTCCTCTCCGTATTCTGAACTTCTGTGAGTTCCCTTCCTCCTACTGTCCCAGGGTCCTGAGTCCTTCCCTCAAAGGCTAATTGGCCACCTCTCTGCTGCACTGAGCTGGGACACAGGAAACCTGCGTTTCTTGGAAGTCAGCACGCAACAAACATAGTCTGAGAGTCTGCAGATGAGTAAGGGACACGGCTTCTGCATTCGCGTGTGGCTCCTTAGAGGTCCTTTGTGTTCGATACCCAGGGCTGACTGAGGTCACCAGCAAGGGACACTTCTGATGAAGTCAAGTATTTCCTTATCAAGTGCTTCCTGTGAGGCCTTCAGGGCCGCGCAGTCCCTGCCCTCAGGGGTCACCTTCCAATGACAGCAAGGTGACAAAGCGCCCGCCTGGCGCTGCCTGTACAATGTCACGGGTATCCGTTGGCCTGGCCGCCTCCCTGCACCGGAAGCAGCCTGAGGGCAGCGACCACGTCATCCACCACTATGTCCAGCAGCCAGCACCCAGCTGGGCTCTGAATGGCGACCCCACGAGCATTAGGGGCGGGGCGGAACCAAAGACAAGAGAGAAAGAAGCCAGCCAGCTTCTGCCGGACACCTCCGTGCACAGTGTCACACATCCTGCTCTGTGGAGTGAGCATCGCGGGGCTGGGTGTCTAGAAGGTGACACTGTGAAGTCGCGGAGGCCATGTGGGCAGAGCCCAGAGGAGAACACAGGTCTCCTGGCCCCGGGCTTGTGTTCATACCGGAGGTGGATGGGCACGTGGAGGGATCACAGCCGCGGGAAGCCCCTCCCAGGCTGCTCGGCCCTCGCACGTCCCCCCTTCTTCAGAGGTGATTTCAGCCGCGGTGATGCTCATCCAGGCACCGCACGGGCAGCTCTGGCTTCCAGGAGCCCCAGGGACATGGCTCTAAGACAGCCTGACTCAGTATCCCTGCCCCGTGTCTCTCAGAAGCCCTGCCCCAGAAGCCCAAGCCCCTGCACTGGGGTAGGGGATTCTTGGGCCCCTGGGACCCCGGCAGCCACCCTCTACATCTGCACTGCCAATGCCTGATGCCCGTCTGCTGGCCTGGGCTCTGTGGGGGCTGCCCCACCCCTGCCCGCACAGCAATGATACCTGTGTTTCATTTCAGTGTTTCAAACACTGGGTTTGCTGTGCGTTCTGCCTGATTGAACGTTCTCGTTAACTCAGAGCTCATCGGAGAGCCCTATTTGTCACTAAAATATCTGAATTAATGGGTCAGTCTCGTCGGGCCAGGACTGTAACATTGTCTCCCCCGGGGAACTGACAAGCCTCAGGGCACCCTGCTGGCGGTGTCTGGGATCCCACATTAGGCCTCCCGGGAGGGGGAGAGGGGCGCCACAGGTCTCCCCCCCACCCCCCTGCCCCAGCCACACCCTACAGGACACCTTCTCCTTCTGCCCTGACTCTGGTGTCATCTGCCTGAACATCAGCATCCAGAAAACACTCCATTCGAGAAGTCCATTTCACTCGACTCCGGATCATTGAGTTTTCGCATATTCATCTAGTCTGTATCAAGGACTCATTGCAGTCTTGTGCAGGCCGGCGTCATTCTGGGCGTCGCAGGTGGAGGTGACCAGCCAGCCCCTGCCCTCTCGAGCCTGACGCTCCTGTGAGGACAGGTGCGTGTCGTCAGGCGTGAGAGCTGCAGGGGAGAAGGGAAATGCAAAAGGGAAGGCAGAGGGAACTGCCAGTGCAAAGGCCCTGAGGCGGGAGTGTGCTTGGTGTGTCTGAGGAGCAGCCGAGAGAGCAGTGTGGCCAGAACGGTGGCCAGAACAGAGCACAGGAGGAGACGGGAAGGGAAAATGGCAGATGTCCATGGAGGGCTTGCTGGGTTCCAGGCACCGGAGAGAAAGCAGAGAACGAGACAGAGGCGTGCCCTGCACCCTTGGTGATCGTACAGGGTAGTTGAGGGTCAGAGTAGAAGCAAGGGAAGAAGCAAACATTCCAGAGCCTGGAGAGGCCCCTGAAGGAAGTAAACAAGGGGTCAGTAATGGTAAGGGAGGTGTTACCATTATTACCCTTTACAGATGGGGGAGGTGACTTCCCAGAAGTCACGTGCATTGCAGTTCAGCAGTGGAATCAGGATCCCGCCCAGATCTCTGGGGTCCAAAGCCTGGGTGAGCTTTCAAGGGCTCTGTCTCCTCAGCTTCCTCTGGATCTGAGCCAGGGTCTCCCTCTACCTCACAAAACCAATCCCAAGCCCTGGGGTCATGCCCTGAACACAGGGGCCACGTTCGGAACATGGACACCGGATGTGAGTCTGCCTGGCCTTTGAAGAGAGGACTCCCGGCTTAGCCCTCTCTCTGCTGACAGGGCCCTGGGGGCTGCCTGGCCTCCACAAAGAGCTGTTTCCCTCTGCCCCTCCACCCACCAGCTGGCCGAGAGGCACGTGTACTCAGAGGACACAGGTGACCTGGGACAACAGAGGTGATCGCTGCCCAGAGCCAGGCAGGCACTAGGACCCTGCAGGGTGAGAGCAGTCCTGGGTTGCACCATTCCTGGCCTGGGCCCTGTGCTTTTGTTCTCATGGGCCCCTTCTGCTATTAAAATATATATATATATTAAAATTTATATTTCATGGCTATGTTGGTACGAAAGCAAATAGTATTAATAATATATAAGCACACTGTATCAGCCGGCAATGGCTGACATAGCAAAGTACCGTCACTGGGGCTGTAAACAACAGACATGTATTTTTCTCAAAGTCCTGGAGCTGGAAGTCGAAGGTCAAGGTGTGGACAGGGCTGGTTTCCCTTGAGGCTCTGTCCAGGGCCTGTAGCTGGCCATCTTTGCTCTGTGCACATCTGAGTCCTAATTTCTTCTGCTAAGGCCACCAGTCATATGAAATTAGGACCCACTGCAATGAACCCAGATAACCTTAATGACCGTTTTAAAGACCTTCTCTCTAACTACAGCAAATACAGCACATTCCAAACTCCCGGAGGCTAGGACTTCCACACATGAATCTGAGGTGGAGTATGAATCAGCTCATAACATATGCATGTGACTCAGTCGGTTAAGCGTCTGACTTGGGCTTAGGTCATGAGCTCTCGGTTCGTGGGTTCAAGTCCTGCATCGGGCTCTGTGCTGACAGCTCAGAGCCTTGAGCCTGGTTAGGATTCTGTGTCTCCCTCTCTCTCTGCCCCCCTTCCCCCACTCTCACTCTGTCTCTTTCTGTCTCTCAAAAATAGATAAACATTAAAATTGTTTTAAACATACATACATATACATGTATAACATATTTTTTAATGTTTATTTTTGAGAGAGAGAGTGGGGGAAGGGTAGAGAGAGAAGGAGACATGGGATTCGAAGCAGAGGCTCTGCGCTGAGAGATGAGAGTCAGAGGTGGGGCTCGAACTCATGAACTGGGAGATCATGACCTGAGTCAAAGTGGGAGGCTTGACCGACTGAGCCACCCAGGCGCCCCCATGTGTCTATCATGCTTTGACCTAGAAGTTCAGTTCTCCCTCTGTCCTCTGGGACTGACTTGGGTACCAGCGCTCTGAGCTTGAGCCACGAAGGACTTCTGGAGCCATCAGACAGCTGTCCAGAAAACCCTTTCCTGATGCAAGGACAGGAATGCCCCGCGAATGCCCGGGACATAGGCTTCAGCTGGTCCCTCTGGGGCAGGCTTTTGCCGTCGCCAGCCCAGCGGACAGCAGCAATAAGAGCTGTCCTTCCTCTATCTCCACATCTTCTCCCAATTTCCTGTAAAATACTCCAGGTGGGCGCTCACCCCAAACATTCCATTGAAATGGCACCAGTCCCCACGGCCAGTGGCCTCCACGTGGCCAAATCAGTGGCCATTCCTCAGCCACGCCTGCCCTGACCTCTCACATGAGGTCAGTACCGTCCCTCCTCCTGTGGCATCCGGACACCACATTCTCCCGGCTCCCTTCCCACCTCCCAGGCCGCCCCTCCTCTGCTGCATCTGCTGGTGACTGGTCTTGTCCCTGGGCCTTGACATTGGCGTGTCCTAGGGTTGAATCCTGGGCCATCATGGATTCCTTTAGTGCTCTCAACCAGAACCGTGGACCTCAGGCTTCTCACGGATTTACTCGTTTTATCATCCATCCCCTCGGCTAGAATGTCAGCCCCACGGCACAGAGATATCTGTCCTGTGCAGGGATGTGTCTGCCGGCCTCGGACAGTGGCTGCGATGTCTGAGGTGCTCCATAAACATCGTCGACTGAATGAGCCCTGGTCCTGCCCGCCATGCCAGCGGGGACCCATAAGATCTCAGAGTGGATCCGCCGCCGTAAAAGCCTGAGGGCATCGAGGCGGAGGAGGAGGGCGTCCTGAGAGATTTTGGTCCAGACAGAGATCATTTTGCATCTGCCTTCTGACGCTCACGCTCTGGGCCATCTTAGGCATCTCTACAGGCTTCTGTCTGGAGCTGAGAGTCCTCATCAGATACCAACCACCAGGGAGATGACAGGTTTCTCCGGCCCCTGAGGAGGCGGGAGTAACATTCTCCATCGCTGTCAACAGCCCCGTCCTTGTCAATCAGTGCTTGTGACACTCAGCCGCCCGTCACAAAGCTGCTACATCTGTCTCCCAGTCACTGTAGCAGAACTTCTGGCGAGAGGGGGGCAGGGGTGACCCCCATGCTTACTGTGCAAACGGTCCACCCGGGGCGACTCAAGTTTTGCTCAGAGTCGCACGGCTGAGGCAGGGACGCCAGACTAAAACCTGGGGCCGCACAAAGCCAAAGCCCCGGACCTCCGACCGTGGTTCTATCTGGATATCCCCACCTCCCTTCTCGACTCTCCCTCCCCCCGACCCAGCCCATCACCACACACTGTGTCTTCTGCCTGCTAAATACCTCCAGAGTCTGCCCACCTCCTCTCTTGCCTCCCTGGCCGCCTTCCATGAACTTTCCAGAACATGGATCTGACTTTAGCTCCTGCTGCCTGGAATCCTTCATGGCTTCTCATCGCTATGGAGTTGAGACTAATTTTATTTAATTTTTTTTTTTTTTTTTTTGCAGGGCCCACAAGGGTCTGTGGCGGTCTGAGCTCCAATGGCATCCCCGACCTCGCCCTGCGCGCCCTGGATCCCAGAGGAATTAGGTCCTCCTGAGGCACACCGTCAGACGGGTCTGTCTTCTGAAGCTCACCAAACACAGATGACGTGCTCATCTGTTGGCCTGCCCACAGTGCCTCCCCACGTCCTCCCCCTGCGAGGGAGGGCCGCCCCAGGCTGGCTCCTGCCCAGGACTTCCCACTGTAGCGCGCTGCCCAGAACAAGGTAGTCACTGCATGTGCTTCTTGAACACACGAACAAGTGAACACATAAATGAACCAAAGCGCATGCAGGCATATGCACGGACATCTGTGCGCTCAGACTCTCACCCTGCCCCGCCTCATGCAGACCTTGTCAGGGCTTTTCCTGCAGCAGACAAGGACAGATCCCAACTCCTGGGCTCCCTTCTCCCTTCATGGGTCACCCTTACCCCCTTACCTTCAGCTCCCGCCCCTTTCTTCTCAAAAGCCGCACAGAGACGCTCGAGCACCACGCTGTCACTGGAGCCTTCCACCCGGACCTCCTCGTCCAAGAGCCAGAAAAGGCCCCTAGGGTCCTCAGCACCTCCAGCAGCTGGTAATCGGACCTGGTGAAAAGCCCGGGATCACTGAGGAGCCCTGGTTCCTGATAGAGGCCAGTCCGTGCCTTCTCTTCCTGCCTACAGGAGTCGGGGAGTCTGAGTCCCAGGCATCGGTACTCAGCCGTGCTGGCCCAGAGCCATGCTCATACTCACCCCCAGAATCTCAGCGTGGGAACCTCAAACCTTAATAAGCGCTCAGCTTCGGGAGGTCCCATCCAGCCTCTGTCCTCACTTTCTGTGTGACCTTGGGTAACCTACTGCACCACTCTGAGCCTCACTTCCTTTTATGGAAAATGGAGACTAACAATACCTTCCTCAGAGGGCTGCAGTGAGGAATTAACACGGGAGAGTGCTCTGTAGATTACACATTCTAGATACACACGGGCGGCTGTGTGTGTTTGTGCAGAGCCGCACATCAAAGGGTTAATCCCATCCATAGCTCTTTCTCTTAGAAATCTGCGGGTTTTTTTTTAAAACAAAATCTTAAGAGTGGGAGGGGAGCACCCAGAGAATGTAGTAGAGGAGAAGGTGAACTTGGTTGAATAGCACAGGCACGGAATTTTAAATCAGGCCACGAGCTTCAGAAGGCGTCTAGGTAATGAAGTTTTGTTCACGGGAAACAGAGAGAGACCTGGAGAGTCTACACCGCTTATCCGAGGGCCCACAGTGAGTCGACACCACAGAAAACGGCCCCAAGTGGTCCTGATGGAAATGCGATGCACGTGGGGACCAGACGCCCCCTGGTGACCGGAACTGCGGGACTTCCTGGGACGTGAGCATGTCAGCGCTGATGCCAGCAAACCCGGGGGGCTGGGTACCCTACCCGGGAAATGTTGGCCCACCCTACTCGGAGGGCCAGAGAGGAGAAGGGACACCTCCAGGGCCACATGGACGGCACAGGGGCAGAACCCGAGCGGATCCCAGCTATCCTGTGCCTTCACCTCGCCTTTCTTCATGGGGCTGAAATTGACAGCCAGCCCATCCTCAGAAGGTAGCTCCTCCCAGCCGCTGCGCCTGCATCCAGGGGACCCCGCGGCGCCTCCCTCCTCACACTGCCTGGGGCCTCCCTTCGGGCCACCCCTTCCAGGGAAGGAAGCACAACAGGGAGGGGGAACCGGCGAAGACGTGCCAGCAGGAAGCAGGAGCGGGCAAGGGCCGGCGGGGCTCACAGACAAGGCAGCTCTGCAGGCACAGGGGCAGGCCGCCGTGAGCAAGGGGGGCTTGGAGCCCACGCCCAGCCGGCAGGAGACAAAGAATGAGAGAAGCGGCAGCCTGCGATATCACCCAGCAGGAGAAACAGGTGACCCGCGGGCCACCTCGTGTGGACCCAGCACCCTGCCAGCCACTTTATGTACCAGATCGCATCGATGTTCCTGGCCACCTCTGGGGAGGCTGTCGTTCCCATTTTGGAGATGGGAAAATGGAGGCCCAGAGAGGTGATGGGATATGATCAAGGTCACTGGGATTGGCCCTGAACCTGGCAAGTTGAGTGAAATGGCCCAGGGCAGTTCAGAGAGGGGGCGAGCAGAGGTAGGCAGATCTGCGGTCAGCCAAGCAGGTTCTTGGGGTGGGGAAAGCAAAGTAAAGACTCAGGTATCCCCCAAACTGAAGCCCATCACTGCCTGGACACACCACCTGCCACTCTCCATCCCCCAGTGGCCCTGGACATAGCACCCGCGTCTGAGCACCTGACCTGTGCTTACTGGCGTCCACTGGGCCCTGGCCCTGAGCCCCCCTCAGCTCAGCACAGCCTCCCAGGTGTATGTGCCTCCTGGGACACAGACCCAGACATCAAGTAGAGAGGTGGTCCTCAACCTGAGGGGGTCTGAAGGTTTGTTGCTCCGGAGCCACACCCTCGGACCAGTCTGGGAGGGTGTCACCAATCCCTGGGCGATTCCAGGGACAGGCAGCATTGAGAACCAGACTCGAATCATCTCGTATTTCAGTTAAAATCTTTGTGGCATCTCAGAGCCTCCGTTTGTGGGGCCCCGCACTACCTGGGAAGGATTCTGGTCCGCAACGGCCACCGTGGTCCCTGGGGAAGCCTCCGGGAGGTCAAAGGGCACAGGGATACCTTCCTGCAAAGTCACAGAAGCTCAGCATTAGTTCCTTCCGTGAGCCAAACAGGGTGGAAAACTTGTAGAGGAGAAAAGAGAAGTGCGGGCTTTTGCCTTTCCTTAACTTCTTTCTTATTATCATTATTAGAAGAGTTTTTTAAAGTAACATCTACGCCCAACATGGGGCTTGAACTCACGACCTCGAGATCAAGAGTCACGTGCTCCACCGACTGGGCCAGCTGCGCACTTCCCAATCATCATTTTTTAAATTGTGGTGAAATACACACGGCATAAAATCTACCTTTGTAAGTGTAGAGCCAGAGGCAGTTGTGTGACCGTCACGACCCCTACCTCTGTCATCGTGCAAACCGGAAACTCTGTCCCCATAAACACAGGCTCCCCACTCCTCCACTTCCAGCCCCGGCAACCACCGATCCACTTTCTGTCTCTGGGAGTTTGACTCCCCTTGAGCATCTCACATGAGTGGAGTCGCGCAGGATCTGTCCTTTGGCGACAGGTTTATCCTGCTCTCAGCGTAATGTCCCAGGTTGCAGTGGGTCAGAACGTCCTTCCTTTCTATGGCTGAACCAGAGCCTAAGCATGGATGCTTCTTTACACGCGAATCTGTGTCCACACTGACAGACACTTGGGCTGCTTCTAACTTACAGCCATTGTGAATAACCCTGCTGTGCACGTGGGTGCAAATATCTCTTCAAGACCTTGCTTTCAATTCTTTGGGGGTAGATACCCCCACACCTCACACCTGCCGGTACCGCTCCAGCGCCGAGACGAAGGTCCGCTGGTAGAAAAGCAGCTGCAGGCGCTCGTGGGCATAATTGCGGCACAGCTCCTCGAAGGTGGCGGCCCGGTCCTTGCACTGGTGTCGCGGGTTCTGAAAGCCCGGAGAGTCCACCACCATGATGGAGGCCATGGACAGGTGGCGGGAAGAGAAGGACCTGGGGAGAGAGGAGGGGGGCCCCCGAGGTCACATGCTCGAGCCCTGCTAGTCCACGTCTCCCGCTCCCCCATCACAGACATGGGGAAACTGAGGCAGCATGCTGGGCGGAGTTAGGGATCCGGCAGATCTGGCGCCAAAACGAGGCTCACCACTCACTCCAGGCTGTGTGACCTGGGGCAGGTTAATTAACTTCTCTGAGCTAAGGTTTCCCCAACACTTAAATGATGGTAGGGATGAATAAGATGATCCCAGGGGATGCAGTAAGGATCAAGGGAGTCAGGGGCGCCTAGGGGGCTCATTCGGTTAAGAAGCCAACTCTTGATTTTGGCTCGGGTCATAGTCTCATGGTTTGTGAGTTCGAGCCCCATGTCAGACTCTGCATTGATAGCACGGAGACTGCTTGGGATTCTTTCTCTCCTTCTCTCTCCATCCGTCCCTCACTCTCTCTTTCAAAATAAATAAACATTTTATAAAAAAAGAAAAAAAAAGGATCAAGGGAGTCAAAGTATGTTAAGTGCTCCCATGGATAGCAAGCCTGCAGGAAGTGCTCTTTCTCCCCCAGGCCAGAACACGAGAAATGACTTGCGTCAGGTCACCTCGTAGATTGGCCATCACGTTAGGACCAGGGCCTCCTTCTTAATAACACATTGCACTAGAAGAACAATTGTGTTCAGTGCCTCAGTTTACAAAGCCTTTTCAGGGGCATCTGGGTGTTCAGTGGGTTGAGCATCTTGCTTCGGCTCAGGTCATGATCTTGCAGTTTGTGAGCTGGACACAGGTCTCCCTCTCTCTCTGCCCCTCCCCTACTTGCACTCTGTCTCTGTCTCTCAAAAATAAATAAACATTTTTTTTTTAATTTCTTAAAGCCCTTTCAAGCATGGCTCAGTCGGTGGAGCAGCCGACTGGCTCAGGTCATGATCTCATGGTTTGTGAGTTCAAGTCCCACATCGTGCTCGATGCTGTCATCACAGAGCCTGCTTCAGATCCCCTCTCTCTCTCTCTGTGCCCCTCCCCTGCTCATGTGCTCGTTTACTCATTCTCTCTCTCTAAAAAATAAATTAAAAAATTTTTTTTCTAAAACATTTTCTAAACAGTCCTTTCAAGCCCTCGATCTACCGGGTGGACAGAGACGGGATCAAAATGCAGGCATCAAGACATGGTAGAGGCAGTCACACATGGGCTCCAACCCCCTGCAACGGTGAGGCTGTGTGTCCTGGGAATGCCCCCCAACCTCTCTGGGCCTCAGCCACCAAAGGGTCAATGGCAGGCACAAGTCAGAGGGGTTTGCGGGGAGGGTCGCATGGGATGAGACATCCAGGCTCTGAGTGCCCAGTAAAGGTTACCTGCTGTTACTCATTACGATTATGGTCATGATCAGCCTTGTCTATGCTTTGGACCTTAGCTCTTCTCTAGGATTTTCCATCTGTACAATGGGCCCAATGAGATCGGCCGCCCCGCAGACACACGTGAAGACTGTCAGCTGATGCTCAGAGAGCCAGGTGCCTCCGAGGTGCTCCCAGGTGATGGGGGAGCCGGTTCTATAGGAAGCAGCCACCCTCCATGGGCCGAGACAGCTTTTCAGCCAACAGTTCGGTCCCCACCCCAGATGCTCCTCCTCTGAGCATGCACGATCCACGCACACTCCCCCTGGTTTGTAGACAGTGTGTCTGTGGCCTCAGATGGTAACTGCTCCAGCAGTGAGGCAGTAAGTGGATCCTGCATCCACTCATCATTGGAGAATCCAGCGGCTCTGCTGTGCACCGGCCTAATCCCCCCCACCTCCCCCACTCCACCCAGCAGGATGTCTGTCAGAAGCCTAATTATGCCGCCTGCTTTCTGGGAGGAGACAGGGAAGCCCTTGCCTGGGTTCTGGATCGGCCCCATTGGAATTGCTTGCTTTCTGAGGGCGGGCTCAGAGTGCCACTCATGGCAGTAGAAATCGGCTGCTGGTACCTCAGCCCGACAGATACATTCCAGAGACACGGTGTCGCCCAGTACAAGGCAACACCCTGCTTGCACCCCCTCCTCAGCAGGAGATTTAAAAAGGAGGGGCGCCTGGGTGGCTCAGTCAGTTAAATGTCCAACTTCAGCTCAGGTCATGATCTTGCAGTTCATGGGTTCGAGCCCCGCATCAGGTTCTGTGCTGGCAGCTCAGAGCCTGGAGCCTGTTTCAGATTCTGTGTCTCCCTCTCTCCCTGCCCCTCCCCCACTCATCCTCTGTTTCTCTCTGTCTCAAAAATAAATAAAAACTATTTTAAAAAATTTAAAAAAAAGGAAATGGATGAGAGCAGTGTGGTGGGCCTCTGTTACCCCATCAGTAAACTGGGCTAATGTGCATATTAAATGATATAAGGTGGGGGCACCTGGGAGGCTTGGTCGGTTAAGCGTCCGACTCTTGGTTTCGGCTCCTGCGTCGGCCTTCGCGCTGACAGTATGGAGCCTGCTTGGGTTTCTCTCTCTCCCTCTCTCTCCCTGCCCCTCCCCTGCTTGCTCTCTCTCTCTCAAAATAAATAAATGTTTAAAACTTAAAAAAAATAGATTTTAAATGATACAAGGCGAGTGAACCAATTAGCGCAGGCTCTTGTCCTCACTTAGCGGGTCCCCCCCGAAACTGTTAGCTTTTATCATTGGTCTTCTGACCACTATGAGGAAGAATTTCTTTATTACATTATTTCGTTTAACCTTCGCAATGACCCTGGGGGACAGAGCTATTTTTGCAGGTGCCGAAGGGGAGGTCAGAGAGGTGAACGGCTATGCCTTGGGTGGCCAAGGTGGAATTTAAACCCAGCACGACCCGACTTAAAAACTCACTCTTTTCTTGTTAAAAATGTAACAAAACAGAAACAAAACCCCAAAAAACCAAAAAACACAAAAAACAAAACCAACCAAAAAAACAAACTAAACCCTCTCTGCTGACGTGTCCCGTGCTTGGGCTCATCTGTGTGCTTTGGAAGAGGCTGCCCTTACCTGTTGATGAGCGAGACCACGGCCGCAAAGAGCTCTTGGTACAGGCCGGAGGCCATCCCCTCCACGCACTCCACGCCCGTCATCTTGAGCCCTGGAGTGGAAGTGAGGGAAAGGAGGGCATCCGTGGTCAGGACCCTGCCGGGGGCCAAGGACCCCACTCCACAGGCAGCACTGCTGGCCTTCAAGAACCCCCACTCCACTCGCTGCCGAAACTGTGTGCCCACACTCTCAGAACTACGTGCAAGTGTATTACCAGGACTTACAGCGTTCTGGTAGCCTGCCCTACGTCTTCTCAAATGAGTGCTGCTTCTTATGCCTCAGGATCAACCCAGCATCACTCCCCAGAGCAGCCTGCCTTGACCACCACTCTGATGGGCCAATTTCCAGTTCGACCTTGCACCTTTTCTTTAATTAGTTTTTTATTGAGCTACGGCTGACATCCAAACAGCTGCACCTCTTTAACGTATCCCACCCGACGAGCTTCAAAAAAACTATGCATCACCATAAACAACATCATACACATAACTGTCAACTCTGAGGGTCCTCCCGCCTTCTTTGTGGGCACGTGTGTGTTAGAACAGCTAACAGACGATCTACCCTCTCAAAAGAATTGTCAGGATTCAATATGGCGTCAGTAACCACAGGCTCTATGCTGCACTGTGGGTGTATCCATCTGCCAGTCACCGTGTTCATCCATTTATTCATCTGGGCTCTAGGCTCTCTTTGTCTCACACAAATGAAGCTGTATACCCATCACTCATTCTCTCCCATTCCCCCTTCCCCCGGCCCTGGGTAACCCCACCTTACTCTCTGCTTCTATGAGTGTGACTCTGTTAGATTCCACACATATGTGGGAATGTGAAGTGTATCATTCCACTGTAACAAAGGAAATCCAGCCATTTACAACACGGATAAGCCCAGAGGACATTATGCTACATGAACTAAGCTAGACACAGAAAGACAAAGGTACGCTGCTCTTATAGCACTGAGTCCAGTACATCTTTACTTGTGCTGTTATTTTATTAACGACCTCCCTTCCCCACCCCCACCCCCGCCCAGTGCCAGGCTGGGAGTAGCCCTGAGGATGATGGGGACCGTCTCTGGGTGTCTCAGCTCCCAGATCCGCAGTGCCTGACACATAGTAGGCACTCAGCAAATTTTTGTTGTTCCCTCTTTCTGGAGGGAACTTTGGCAATCCCCTGTCAGAGGCCATAAAATGTTCGTACACTTGGACTTAATAATTTCACACTGGGGCTTTTTATCCTAATGAAATATTCAGAGAAACAAAGATCTCTGGGTACATATGTTCTCCTGATTGTTGATTACGTTGGCCGAAAATCGCTTTTTCAAAGCAACTTGGATATCCAACAATAGCAAATGGGGTTAGATAATTTGTAGTCTGCGCAAAGGAGTGCTTGAAGTCAGGCAGAGATGAATATGGAGAGATGGAAAAGTGCCTACCTGTGAGGTTAGGAGGAATGAAAAGGCTTAGCAAACTATTAATATAGTCACAGTCTCAATTTTGTTTAAACGCGCACACACACACGTCCCATTAAAATAGCTAGCCTTGATGAGGGTGCATTGAACAAAGCGGAGTTAGAATTTGCGAGGGAAGGGTCAGATCCTAAATCCTGCCCCTCAGTTTCCACCCCCAGAATTGGAGACTCGATTTTCAAATCTGTGCTGTGCCTGGAGACTCAATTCTGTTTGTACATTCCAGGCAGCCCCACTGCAGCCCCAAAGCACTTCCCAGCCCTCCTGTAGCTCCGCCCCCAACCTGGGCTGTTGCTAGGCAACCCACAGCCTCTCCTCATCTCTCCAAAGCCTTCTGGTCCCCTGTCTGCCTCACATCTACCCTTGATACCTTGGCCTGAGATGTAATTAGCGCTCATGTCGGAATGTGTGTGCCCATATGTTCACGTGTCAGTGCACAGTGGTGTGCTTCCTGTGTGTGTGCGTGTGTGTGTGTGTGTGGAGTATGAGTCTGTGAACATGTGGTGTGTGTGTGCATGTGCACGTGTGTGATGGTGGAGTGCATCTGTGCTTCAGAGAGGAGTGACCATAAGCAGACTATAGCTCATACCTGGACCTAGAAGCAGACAAAAGGTTAGGGGCATCTGGGTGACATTAGTCATCAAGTGGAAGTCTTCAGAACCACAGCAGTTCTGAGGACCTAAGGGGTCTCTGAGAGATGGGCCCCCAAATGACAGTTCAGAACAGTGCTACCCCCGATGACGGACTCTGCAGTCCCTGGGACAACCACTCTTAGCTCACTCTTAACTCTTTCCTGCTTTCTTGGACTCCTGGGGCTCCTGGGGGTCCCTTGATCCTCACTTTCTGCAGCTAAAGCATTTGGTTGGTGGTGGCTGTGGATCTGGGACCCAGCGAGTCACACTCCAGCAGGTGCCACTCAAAACCCTTCTGCTCCCCCTCACCCCCACATCAGTCCGAGGCACCTCATCTCCTCCAACCTCTCGGGCCAAAACCCTCGAAGCCACCCCAATCCCTTGCTTCTCCACTATGTTACCTTCTCTACTTGTAAAAAAAAGTAGGCCTTGAACATGTCCACCACTGCCTCCTTTTGTGTAACCACCATCATCTCACCAAGTGACTGTGTAAGTTCTGTGTGGCCTCCCGTCTCCCACCCATTCCCCTGTCTTCCCCTCCAGCCAAGGCATTTGAAGAACAAGTCAAATCATGGCATTCCCTGTCTGGGCCCCTGCTTGGTTTCTCACGGGTCTGAGCATAAAAAAAAAGAGTCTAATATGAGCTGACCACTCCCCACCCTAGCTTTCCAGCCTCCTCTACTATCCTCCCAGCCCCTTTCCCATCCCGGCCTTATTTCGGTTCCTGAAACTGGAAGGCCAGGCTTCTCCCAACAGGTAGGGGCTCGACAAACATAATAGCCCCTGGAAAAGTGTGGGTCCCTTCCTTGGCAGAGCTCACAGTATCCCCTCCACAGCACAGGGCATCCTGCTGGGTGTCAGCAGAGCCTTCAGGACCCTGGACAGAGCTACGTGGCCAGAAGCACTTTGGCGGGGGTGGGGGGACCAGGTCCACTTCCCCCCACAAGGGCTTCCCTTCCACCTGGAAGATCTCCATCTAGTGTGTCCTGATGAGCAGGTGAGAGTGTGTGGGAGTGTCCCCAGGGGCTGGCCCACCCAGAGAGGCAGCAGTGCGGCACCTGAGCTGGTCTCCTCGCCCTCCAGGCCCCGTCGGCTCGGCCCAGATGTCACTTGCTCGATGATCTGTCGCAAGTGGTGCTTGAAGGTGGCCGTGTTCAGCTCCTCATACTCGCAGCCCAGGGCCTCAGCTGCGTGGTTTGCCCACTCGAAGCGCATGAACTGCTTCCGGCCCACTGCAAGAGGGACAAAGCAGAAGTGTGGTGGTGAACTCCTGGGCGTGGAGTGTGTGGGCTCCTCGGGGATCTCACCACCTCCCACCCTCTGTCTGGGCTACCCACCCTCAGCAGGGAACCGCAACAAGTGCCCCGGGCAGGGGCAGGTTCCCCAAGACACCTGCTTTTCCTGCGTCCTCGCATTTGCATTGCTCACTTTTTCAAAGCAATTACAGTTATGTGGACACTCTAAGTGTGGAATTGGGGAATTGATAGTAAAAGAGCATGAGCTGTCCACTCTCATGCCCCCTGCCATCCACCTACCCATCCCTTTTCAACTACCCACCCAGCCGCACATCCAACCACCTGACCACCCATCCACTTATTCAAGACACACCTATTGAGCTCCAACTTGCAATAGGCACTGTGTCCACCACTGAACAATCAATGACGGGCAAGATGGACAAGGCGCTTGTCCTCATGGAGCCTACAATCTATTTACGAAGTAAGACAATAAACAAGGAAACAAATAGATGAACAAGATAAATTCAGGTGATAGAATTATAAAGTGGCTCCCCTTTAAGTAGAAAATAAAGCCAAGAGATGAGATCAAGAGAAACAAGAGGATCCCTGTGGATCTGTAGTAGTCTGAGAATGTGATATCTGAGTTGGGTTATAAAAGGTGAGAAGGAGCTCCCTTCCGAAAGAACGAGGAAAGAGTTTTAGAGAGAGAATGAGGTGACTGTGCAAAGGTCCTGAGGCAGAAACAATCATAGTGTATTAGAGAAATGCCAAGAAGACCAGGTGGCTGGAATGTAAGGGGGGAGTGGGGAGGGGGAGCCAAATGAGGTTGAAGAAGCAATGGGGAACCATTCTATGACCTATTATAAGGCCATTGAAGATCTTACAGCCAAACATTAAATAAAAGGCAAATTAGAAAACGGTACCAGCGTATGATGTCAACTGTGTAAATCATTCTCAAGTGCTGTAAAAAAAAAAAAAAAAATAGTACAAAGTGGGGCACCTGGGTGGCTCAGTTGGTTAAGCGTCGGGCTAGGCTCAGGTCATGATCTCACAGTTCGTGAGTTCAAGACCCGCGTCGGGCTCTGTGCTGACAACTGAGAGCCTAGATCCTGCTTCAGATTCTGTGTCTCCCTCTCTCTCTGCCCCTCCCCCACTTGTGCTCTCTCTCTCTCAAAAATAAATAAAAACATTAAAAATTTTTTAAATAGTAAAAAGGAAATACGTCCAAATATTAACAATCATAGCTGGGTAAGAGGATTTTGTATTTCCTAAATTTTCTACGGGGCTTGTGTACAAATTTTATAATCCAAACAAAAAATTAATGGCTGATGAAAATAAATAACAGTGCCATCCTTAAATAATTTCCTCCCATCGCTTATCTCCCCATAAATATTTCCTTCTTTGCAATAAAAATCACAGCTGCCCCTAGGTTTCTCAGTCCATCAGAATGAGATCACAAGGGCCCAGTTCTCCAAGAAGACATCTTGAAGAATCAGTCTGGTGGAAGGCAAAATTGAGAATTCGGAAAAAAATTTATGTGACACTTGGATGCCACCCCAGGCAACTGAGGGACCACAAGAGACACTGCTCATTGACACCCGTCTACGCGTCAGTTACTCAGCACTGATCATCACAAGAGAATGTTACCATTTTACAGATGAAAAAAACTGAAATTCAGAGAAGTCAGCAGAAATCGTACGGACACTAAGTACAAGAACTACTATTTCACCAAAATCAATCCCTCAGATACCCACTTTTAGGAAATTTGCCATTATCTTTGGGACCCCTAGGTAAGACTTTCCTTAACACAGACTCATTTGTCTTTTTCACTTAACTGAATACACTGTGAAATGAAATATTATAGCCTTATATTAAAAGAAAACCCATTTGTTGGAGGAAGCCATCAAGAGCTTCCAGTGACTGCCCAGTGACCCTCAAGCTGGCCCCAGGTGACGACTCCCTCTCCTGTCCATGAAATGTACATTTTGCCCACGTTCCCACAGCGGGTGGGGGAGCTGTCTTCAAGGACTTACCCTCGAGTGAGTAAGGTGTTGGTTAGACCATCTGGATTGAATATGTGACACTGTATAAACTTTAAGATTCCGGTGGGTGGGTTGGAGATGTACAGGGCTGGCGGGCAGACACAAGTCTATGTCAATTCCCTTGCTTATTATCCCTGCTTATTACATCTGGAGTGATCTGCCCCTTCCTTTGGCCTCCCCTTGCCCTCTGTGATCTGGGGCCAGTTTGCAAAACAAAACCATTATCACTTGTCACAAACAGAAAGTAGAAGCAAATACAATAGGAGCACAGAAGTATCAATAGTTCTAATTAGATACAGTTACCTGGGAGCCCGAGGTGGCTCTCAAGTCAAAATGGAAGATTAGCAGAGTGTTGGTGATTTTAAAGGCTGTTAGCCCCGAGTGAGACTTCTTTCTTCCTGTGTTGGGGGTTGAAAGGTAATTAAACAGGAGATAATGTTCTGGGTGGGCGATGTTCTGTGTCTCTCCTGCCCTGTCGACCCTCCTCTGCCACTCTCCAAAATATTCCCCTACACTCTACCTGCAGTGACATTCAATACCTCCCTGAGCCCAGAAGGGAATCAGCAGTGGTTCTCTCTGAAAAAAGGAGCACCGAACAGACTTGATCTAACTTTAAATCCTGCCTGACAAGGGGAATATTTCCCAGGGCACGGTGCAGCATCTTGCTGGTGAAATCCAGGTGGGGGGGGGGGGCGCACATAAGGAGTCTCACAGGGAAAATGCGCTTTTTGTTTCCAGTTCCCTGAAACCGGACTCTTGCACAAGATCCAATCCCATGGGTTCCCCTGTATTTGTTCAGACATGGGTGGAAGACAGAGAATTGGGGAGCTGAGGAAAGCGACATCTGAGGCAGAGCCAGGAACATGAACGCTGGACCAGCCAGGATGTGAGTCCTTATTCCCGTTTCTGCCATCTTCAACTGTCAGTCTTTGGGGGAGGTGCACAGCCTTTTTGAGCCTCAGTCTCCTCATCTGTAAAATGGAGTCATAAAACCCCAAGCACTCCTTCACAGAGCTGCAGGGACGGGGTGAGATGGTCACACTTACGTGGGAGATACCTAACAGAGCATCTGGCCCTGAGAAGGTGTTCGATAAATATCTATTCCCTTCTCCAACTGTAAAATCAAAGACGGCACCACTCACCTGACAGGGGTTATTCCTTCCTGGAGGCTGCAGGTGGGTCTGACCGTCGCTTTGGAGGATAGATAATGAATCGGCGCACTCCCGATTTGGGCCACGCCCCAGAGATTCTGAGCCAACTGAGGTCATTTCTCCTCCACGGAAAGGCAGATACATGTTGGCTCAGCACCTCCTACCAACCTACCCCAAAGCCAAGGGCAAAGCTGTCCTCGGAATGCCGCTGGGGCTGAAGATTCCCATCCAAGCGATGCTCATTTATGTGATGGCTCCTTCTCCTGAAAAGCCATCACTTAATGAATAAGGACAGCCATCAAGCATCGGCACGTGCTATGCGCCAGGCACTGTGTGAAATGTTTCCTCTCCCTCTTCTTTACTCTCATTTAAAAAATGAGATAATGCAAAGATGTGGGACAGACCCAGGAGGGTCTAGTTTCTGGTCCAAGGTGGTTCAGGGAGTGGGTGGCAGAGCGGAATTCCCACCCTTGTGTGCAGATCCCAGACCAGGCAGAAGCCACCTGCTGGTCTCCTCAGGCAGAGTGTGTAATGCTCCCCACTCTATCCCGATCAGAGCCGGCCCCGCAAAGTGCTCAACGAATATTTGTAAAGTGGGTGATCACACGATGGAAGGAATCGAGAGTACAAGGCACGCTCCTCGGTGATGGCCAGCCCTGCCTGCTTTCCCTCGCCGCTTCTCCGAGACTGGGGAGAGAGAATCTCTGTGTTCTCCTCTCTCCCCATGGAACTCACCATCTGAGCCTTAGAGACAGCCTTTTCTAACAGGAAAGATCAAATAAAAGAAAACACAGAAGTGAGACGGAGATGGAAAGACGGAGAGACAGGGAGGAGCTAGCTTCTCAGAAGGCGCTCCTCGTGGGGCGGGTTTGTGGATTCCCCCTGCCTGTTTGCCCCCCTCCAAAGGGGACTGTGCAGCTCAAGCCAGGTGCTTTCTCGCCACCCACCAGAAGGCCGGGAGCCTGTGCCCAGAATAATGCCAAAGCTAAATGCAGAGGTCATTTCAGGCCATTCTGCCGGCCCCTGGTGGGGAGCAGGACCCCGCGGCAGGTGGGACCGCGGTGCACACCCCATGTAGGGATCCACTCCCCCTTCTGCCAGCATCGCACAGGACACACGATGTTGAGCCGTGAGCAGGAAATGCTCTCTGGCAGCCCACCTGTCACTCCTCTGTCTCACTCACCCAAGAACAAGAAGTCAGAATGCCAGTGTTTGACAGGATTACAAAAGCCACCTTAATATCATAACATCAGCCAGCAGCACGTACCGCATGACTTCCCCATGTCAGGTGCTGGGCTGAGCCTCAAACACGGATGCCTCACCGAGTCCTCCCTGTGGCCCTTGGGGTCAGCAATAGTGTCACCACTTGACTTAGGACAAAACTGGCCCTCAGGGTGACCTTCCAAGACCACGTGGCTGGTAGGATTTGAATTCAGGCCTCCTGACTCCAGTCCTCAATAGCCTAACCACAGCCTGGTGCAGAGGGGCCTTCCTCATAACGAGTCTCAATCTAAAGTCAAGTGCCCTTACAACTTCCCTGGAGAATCTCAAATTGCCCATAAAGCCTTCTTTGCAAGTCCAACACAGAAGGCTTTGCCTCCGGCGGAACACACACTCACACACACACTCACAAGCGCGTGCACACACACACACACACAAATGGTGGCTTGCCTCTAGCAGCTGTGACTTATGGAAAGATACACACGCGCCTGTAACCCCTAGCTTTGCATTTGCCTTTGTATCTATGGAGGGATTTGTGTAAATACAACGCATGTGTGATAGGCAACACCCGCCCTTGAATCTG